TTTCAGCAACAGCGTACGATACTTGGTGAATGTCCTTAGTGCCACACGCTTGGTCGATTTCAACTTTCGCAATTGGCTCGTCTGCCATGGAAGGTATGACCCTTTTCGGTGAACTCTCTTTGGAGCGTGTCTGTCAATGACATACGCCAAGACATGTGAAAAAGTTTGCGCAGCGGTTTCAACGTTATCAGGGTCCAGGACACTTCCCCAGTCTATGCTAGACAGCACGTCGATGATACTACTATGATAGGCTTTCCGAAAATCGTATGACACGTTTGTGGACATGTCTTCAAAATCCCGAACGTGACTATCTTGGCGTTTTTTTTTTACGCGGCACGTATCCCCCGCGTAAAAAGCGACTCCAGTGTATTGATGATTCCAATGTTGAATACTCTTTTGAAGCAACTAGCTTCTAAATGGCCAATGCTTTCGTTGATCATCAACTTTGACGTTTAAAATTGTTATATCCGTAACCAAGGCCAAAAAGTAAAACAAGCTGTTGTTAAGAGCTACTATTTATTACGTCTATCTTGGTTGGTGGTCGGATAAAGAATCAATCTCTAACTTATGACAGTCAGGCAAGGCCTACTACATCTAGGCCTACTACAAAAATTACTAACGTTCGAGAGCAAGGGCAGGCCCAACAAGCCGCCCTGAAAAAAAAAACAAAGTTGCAAATACCGAAGAAAGAAATACGGATCGGAACAATCGGCACAGACCTACGCGACGAAATAAGGACTACGATTGGAAACTCGGAACATGGAACTGCAAATCGCTCGGCTTCCCGGGTTGCGATAGATTAATCTATGACGAACTTCAACCACGCAACTTCGAAGTCGTAGCACTGCAGGAACTTTGCTGGACGGGACAAAAGGTATGGAAAAGCGGGCATCGAGCGGCTACTTTCTACCAGAGCTGTGGCACCACCAACGAGCTGGGAGCCGGCTTTGTAGTGCTGGGTAAGATGCGCCAACGCGTGATTGGTTGGCAACCGATCAATGCGAGGATGTGCAAGTTGAGGATTAAGGGCCGTTTCTTCAACTATAGCATCATCAACGTGCACTGCCCACACGAAGGGAGACCCGACGACGAGAAAGAAGCGTTCTATGCGCAACTGGAGCAGGTGTACGACGGCTGTTCGCAACGGGACGTCAAAATCGTCATCGGCGACATGAACGCTCAGGTATGACGGGAGGCAAAGTATAGACCGGCAATCGGGCCAAACAGCCTGCATGCCGTATCGAACGACAACGGCCAACGATGCGTGAACTTTGCAGCCTCCCGGGGTATGGTAGTTCGAAGTACCTTTTTCCCCCGCAAGGATATCCACAAAGCCACCTGGAGATCACCTGACCAACACACAGAAAACCAAATCGATCACGTTCTAATCGACGGGAAATTCTTCGCCGACATTATCAACGTCCGCACGTACCGCAGTGCGAACATATAGATTCGGACCAATACCTAGTTGCAGTATGCATGCGCTCAAAACTCTAGACGGTTCATAACACCCGTCGAAGTCGAACGCCGCGACCCAACATTGAGCAACTACGGGACGCCGGAGTTGCCCAGGACTACGCGCAGCAGCTGGAAGTTGCACTACCCACGGAAGAGCAGCTTGGCGCAGCTTCTCTTGAAGATGGCTGGAGGGACATCCGTTCAGCCATAGGTAGTACTGTTGCAGCGACACTAGGTACTGAAATCCCGGACCGAAGAAATGACTGGTTTGACGGCGAATGCAAACTGTTAGTAGAGGAGAAGAATGCAGCACGGGCGAGAATGTTTCAACACCGCACGAGATTGAATGTGGAGCGATACAGATAAGCGCGGAACAGACAAAACTCGGTTTTCCGAAGGAAGAAGCGTCAGCAGGAAGACCGAGATCGCGAGGCGATGGAAAATCTGTACCGCGTAAACGACACACGGAAGTTCTACGAGAAGCTAAATAGTTCGCGCAAAGGCTACGTGCCGCAAGCCGATATGTGCAAGGACTTGGACGGTAACCTTCTCACGAACGAGTGTGAGGTGATTGAGAGGTGGAAGCCATCGAATGACGAGCACCTCAACGGTGAAGCAGCAGAAAACGAAGGTGGCACGGCAACAGACCTTGGAGCACGCGCAGAAGACGACAGGCTACTGGCCCCTGATCTTCAAGAAGTTGAGGAGAAGATCGGTCGGCTGAAGAACAACAAAGCAACTGGTGTAGATCAACTACCAAGTGAGCCATTAAAATACGGTGGTGAAGCACTGGCTAGAGCGCTGCACTGGGTAATTGCCAAGATTTGGGAGGAGGAGATATTACCGGACGAGTGGATGGAAGGCGTCGTATGCCCAATCTACAAAAAGGGCGACAAGTTGGATTGCTGCAACTACCGCGCGATCACACTGCTGAGCGCCGCCTACAAGGTACTCTCCCAAATTCTATGCAAGAGAGCTCGTGGGGCAATACCAGGCGGGATTCATGGGTGCCCGCGCTACCACGGACCAAATTTTCGCGATTCGGCAGGTTCTGCAGAAATGCCGCGAATACAACGTGCCCACGCATCATTTGTTCATCGATTTCAAATCCGCATACGACACAATCGATCGAGATCAGCTATGGCAGATTATGCACGAGTACGGACTTCCGGATAAACTGACGCGATTGGTCAAGGCGACGATGGATCGAGTGATGTGCGTTGTTCGAGTATCGGGGACACTCTCGAGTCCCTTTGAATCTCAAAGGGGGTTACGGCAGGGTGATGGACTTTCGTGTCTGCTGTTCAACATCGCGTTAGAAGGTGTGATCAGAAGAGCTGGGATAGACACGAGTGGCACGATATTCAGGAAGTCCATCCAGCTCCTTGGCTTCGCCGATGACATTGACATTATGGCACGGAACTTTGAGATGATAGCGGAAACGTACATCAGACTGAAGGATGAAGCTAGACGGATTGGACTTGCCATCAACGCATCAAAGACAAAATACATGAAAGGAAGATGTTCTAGGGAAGACAATGACATGTTAGCCTCCCACCCCGAGTTCAGATTGACGGTGACGAAATCGAGGTGATCGATGAGTTCGTGTATTTGGGCTCACTGGTGACCGCCGAAAATGATACCAGCAGAGAAATTCAAAGACGCATTATGGCAGGGAATCGTGCCTACTTTGGACTCCGGAGGACGCTCCGGTCGAATAAAATTCCCCGCCGCACGAAGTTGACTGTCTACAAGACGCTGATTAGACCGGTGGTCCTTTACGGCCACGAGACCTGGACTATGCTCGTAGAGGACCAACGCGACCTTGGTGTTTTCGAACGGAAGGTGTTGCGTACCATCTACGGTGGAGTGCAGATGGATGACGGAACGTGGAGGAGGCGAATGAACCACTAATTGCACCAGCTGCTGGGAGAACCATCCATCGTCCACATTGCAAAAATTGGGCGACTACGGTGGGCTGGGCACGTCGTAAGAATGCCGCACGACGACCCAGTGAAAATGGTTCTAGAAAGCGACCCAACAGGAACAAGAAGAAGAGGCGCACCGCGGGCAAGGTGGATCGACCAAGTAGAAGGTGACCTGCAGACCCTTCGCAGACTACGAGGCTGGCGAACTGTGGCCATGGATCGAGTAGAGTGGAGACGACTTCTTCGAACAGCAGAGGACAACAAGGCCTTAGCCTGATTGGTAAGGTAAGTCGAGAGCAAGGGCGTAGCCAGGTTTCGAGCTAGGGAGGGGCGAAAAAAAATTCTATGGAAAATTTGGCCGAATGCCATTTCACCGAAAGCCTTTGTGTTGCTGGGTTTAGGGGGGCAGTTGCCCCTTGCCCCCTCTGGCTACGCCTATGTTTGAGAGTGTGGTAGTGTTTTGTCTGTTCGTGTATTTTAGTTTCTGTTCTCTCATTGTTGTCCCTTCCCAAGTCCCTCTTTCTATGTTTCGTTGCAGTTATAAACAACCATCAGTCATCTCGAGAGAGATCAAGAGCACTTTCCCGCCATCTCACTGCATCTCCCATGGTCAATCGTCGAAAAACAGTCAGTAAAAGGCGGTGGAGATATTTATATCAATCGCATCTTTGTGTACCTTTTCCTTGATCCCTTCTCTACATGTTAATATATTGTAGCACGTAACCTCGAGTAAGCCCCGAGTATTCAAACACCTCGTGTACTAACTCTATTTTTAAGAAACATTGTAAAAAGTAAAATTAATTTCGGCTCCGTAAAGCTGCTGCACTTGAGCCTTGGTAAATAAATGAATTTACAAAAAAAAAACATAACAATCGAATGTAAACAGTCATAGAAGTGGTGCCAGAATTAATAGAAAATTCTGATGGTGTGTTTGGAGTGTGTCGAACTGTGTTTTTGGGGTGTTAAACTCAAGGTGGCAGAGTGAGTTACCCACTGGCTGCCCCTGCTCTAACTGGTTCGCTGACAGAAATATGATTTTTGATCCGCTATTTCATAAATAGAAATCAAATACTTACTCATAAACATGATTACCCTAATAAAAATTGTATGGTTAATTTGCTTAACGACGTGTTCTGGGTATCATCCAAACCATTTATGGAATAGTTCAATGATTTGGGTTATCGTTCGTTTATGGTTATTTTTTATTAGGGTATACTACTTCAAAATCAGATGCGTGAATGATAATTCACTTTGACGACTGCATTTTACTTAATAATTTATTTAATTTGGTAGCAAATTTAGGTGATAACAAATACTGCACATGTTTGTCACTGGCTGCATTAATAATAACTATTGACGTGATTTGCCTTGAAGATGATCTCTAGCTCGAGTCAGTGACGAAAACTGTTTTGTCAATATGTCGTGTGTGGTCGATATTTTGCAGCACTAGAAGGGACCTTCGAGTTAAAGATCAACAATCTCATAGGAAATCACCATTGCAGAAGCCATGCAATTCATTTTTACTACGGTTCTATAACTCGATATCGAGCTAGTGGACATGGTTGTGGAGCGTGTTGATTGTTTGTCAAGCATAGATCTCAAATCAAAGCAACCAACTAAGGATAAAAACTCATTCTTGTCATTTACGTAGAAGCGTCTCCTCCGAAATTTAAAACATTTAATTTTTGCCTAATAATGCGAGGCTGGGGATTCCGCGAAGCACGTAAATATCCACTGGTAAGACTGCCTGGATTTCCACAACACACGATCAGCCAATCCTACACTTGTCACCCTTTTTCAGCTGTGGCCACTGTATGCCCTCTGCGTTGCGGACCTTTGCTGGCTGACATTCAGTGCCACCCGAACCCTTTTCTTCAACCCGGATGTGGTACTGGACCACAAGAACAATCCGGAACCATGGCAAAATCATCGCGATAAACGCTATCGGGTAAATACATTGTAAGATCGTTTGTACCTATTGTGGTTTTAAAAATTCAAACTTGCAGCTGTGGGCTGGCAATTACGACTACTCCAAGCTCCGCTGTCAAGCTCCAATTATCAAGGACGGTGAAGTAATTCCGGTTGAGAAACCGAAGAAATAGACTGGCTAAATTCTCAAGTGGACATTCGAAGAATTCTAGTTCTCCTATCAAGCGTCAGCAACGATTCGATTTGGTTCCTTGATTTTAACCATTTACCTTTTTATTAAACTTACATTCCGACTTCTTCAGATTATTAATCATTCACACCAAATCGCGTTTTTTTTTCTTCTCTACCTGTGTTGTTGTTACAAGGTGCTACAATTGATTCGAAGCAAGAGCTTGCGACAGGGATAGCTTATTCCGTGTACTTGGGGGCTTGGCTCGCAGACTTGGAATAATCTCTGACCGGGGAGTAGAACTGCAAATAGGAAAAAGAGAATAGCCGATTAAATGACTAGTATTTGAATTTATTTAGTGTAACGTTAGCCTGAAGTTAATACTTTTCACCAGGTCAATGAAGAACAAGTCTCTTCTAAAATTACTCTGTAATTGCGTCTTTTAATAGATAAGATAAACAAAGAGATGTCCAAATTCTATCGTTTATCCGCAAAGATCTGGCGACAGTAAACACCAGCTCCGGTTCAAGCGCCTTCTATTTTTATATAAGCTTCCCCTCCTCCCCATCTATAATCAGAGACGAAATTAATTCGTCGGGAATGTCACCTTACCTTGTGCTGCTTATTTCTGTATTCCTCCCATGGTTCCGGGTTGCTCTTGCGGTTCCAAGTGACTTCGGGGCTACTGAGTGCAAGACGGGCTGTGTAGAACACAGCAGCGGCAGCGCCCAAACCAACGCACACGTACAGCGGGATCAGCTGCAATCACACGGTATCATTAGTAATTTGACCGAGTCACAATACAAAAAGCGCAGAAAATTCTCCATAGTGACGTAACATCCCCCACATGAAGCAGATCGCAATTTCGACCTACAATCCGCCAATCTACCGGTTTTAAACTTACCGCTGGGTTTTTCTTAATGCTGGCCAAGCTCATTCCCTGCATTTTGGATGATTTTATTCTATATGGGATTCCACTGGCTCAAAAATAAATGAATTTCACACACCACTCGTCCGATTCTTCCGCACAATGATGGAGACGATCGAATGAGAAAAATAGTTCGATTCTCCACCAGTCAGGTGGCGCTTTCGAAATGACGTTTCAAGTGTCAATTTGCCAGTTAATCCCGCCCAAACATAAGGCGATAGACGGGCGGGTTTAAACGAACGCAGCTGAAAAGCACGTGGACCACACACGTGTATAATTCAAATAAATATTTATTTATCATGTTTGATCAATTCCTTCTAACCAACGAGAAGAAATCGATTCATTTTTCAATCAAGCTCACGCGACAAAGATAACAGTAAAATTACACTACCCTGCTATCAGACGTTTGTGCAATTAATTATCGAGGTCTTATCAACCATTAGATTGGCGAAAGTGGATTCGTGTGTGCAATTATTTTCATGCGATGCATTATCTATAGCAGAAAAAAACCATTATCAGGAAACAGGATTATGAACGTGAGCTAGGAATGCAGTTAAATTGCACTTATCTACTATAGGTAAGCAAATTTATTGAGAATGGTCAGTGCGTTCATCTTGAGTGGTGCGGAGTCATTCAAAAAGGGTGTAAAAATCCAACTGGTGCAGTCAGAAAAAAACAACGATCAAGACCAACACCAAGGTTTACCCCTAATAATATTTGTAAGGTTATATTGCTTAACGACGTATTCAGGATATCATCCAAACCATTTGTTGAATAGTTCTATCATTTGGGTTACCGTTCCAGTATGGTATTTATTTATTAGACAGACGTCTAACTGGCGAAGAAATCAATTAAAATAATGTGGTTCGCTGTAATAGAATTTTCATAGAAGCTTGTGTCATCAGCCACCAGATAGGCTGATATTTTTGTTTTGATTTGAACAAAGTTGATTTTGTGTGCAATGATCTTTGACAGTGTGCATATAGTGTATCATTTGGTCATTTGTTTTATGAATTTCAGTTTTGAGTAGAGTGAAAGAGATAGCACCAAAACCAATCCAGTAGTAGTGTTGTCTAGAGTCGGTGTATAATGAGTCACGCCAAGAGAAAAATAGTTGAACTCACATCACGGTTTTCGAAAGATTACAATTCTTTTCACTTGGCAACAGAGGACTTCTACAACAACTTCAACTGACTTCTAGCGAGAGACAAAATACTGCGGCTGTAGTAAATCATTATATCAGTGATTTTGTCAAATTATCTTAACAAAAAATAGTAGAAATTCTCATTACTAATCATTACCGAGCGTATCCCATGACAATTTAACGCTCACTGCGTGTTTATGCTTATTCTTCGATTGTATTTTATATTTTATAGCAATACCTTTCGTGAACCTTTCATAGCACCGTAATGTTTATTTACTTTGCACGATAGGTAGCCGCTTTGACAGTTCAATAGGTAGACTTGGCTTCACTCTTGGCGTGACTCATTATACACCGACTCTAGTGTTGTCATGTGGTACACTGAAAAAATGCAATTCTTTGGTACAAGCAATGTAAATATTTACCACAGACAAACAGACATAACACATTGAATATTCTCATTGTAAAACATCGTCGCTAAAACATTACCGCCATCTGTTGAGTACACTGTGGTGGGTAGTACGCTGAACAGATGGCGGTAGTGTGTAAACCTCAAACGCTAGGGACTTGACTATGCGCGCCACATGTGGCAGTACTACCAACTGAGAAACTTTTAAATAGACCGTTAAATGCTTGTTCGATGAACAACTTGTGAGTGTTATGTCTGTTTGTCTGTGTATTTACCTTATTTGGCAAAACCCAGGTAATTATGACGTTTGATTATTGAAAACAATTTGAATGAAGAAAAGAGACCTACTGCTGTCATTATTACCTGGGTTTTGTCAAATAAGGTAAATATTTACATTGCATGTACCAAAGAATAGCAAGTTTGTTACCAAAGTTTTCGTTTTTTGTAACAGTAGAAAGTAGTGTTTCTTTTATGTTTATTACATACCATAAACCATAACAAAACTGTTTAGTATAAAGTTAACATAGCTTGTAAGATGTCAAGGGCTGAACACAATGATAGCGGCAAGCGCAAATTTTTCAAATTCAGACAACCCACTATGAGCGCGTTGCCACAAAAGCGGCATTGTACTATTTAAAGCGCGTTTTTTTTCAACATTGTCGAAAAACGCGGTGCAGTTGCGCGGGAATCTGAGAAATACTATGAAACGAAAGTTGTATTTTTTATAAGCTGTATTTGTTTTTGCGTTGTAAAAATGAAGCGAGAAATTCGCGCTGCACATCTCGAACTTTATGTGTAAAAATTCATTGTGTTGATTCAAATGTTAAGATTTACCTTCTATTTGCATATCTTCAGTAAACTATGATCCTAATCTATCAATTACTTTAAAGAAAAACAAATTTCAACAACTGAGTGAAAAGTTATTAACAAATGAGCAGTTGGTGTGTACAACTGTGCATGTCAAGCATGCCTCTGGGGAAGTGGTCAGATTCCTCTAGAACCAAAACCCTCATGCGACACATGAAACTACATCAGATTCAAAAATAAGATGATTGGTGGCCATATTAAGTACTCAGTACCACGTTGGCCAGCTCCGGACATGTTCCGAATACCCCCGGAGAAGTGAAACTTGAACCTACATACACATGTAACGCATCAAACTACATGAGAATTCAAAAATAAGAACATAGGTGGCCAAATTAAGAACTCAGAACCACGCTAGCCAGACATGTTCCAGGTGCTCCCGGGGAGTTTTATAAATTCCCGAAATTTTCCTCAAGAAAATGGAACTTCTCTAGAGTTCTCGGACATTCTCTTCAGAACTACTCTGAAGGTCTTCTAAGAACTACTCTGAAGTTCTCCACAGAACTACTCTAAAGGTCTCCTCAAAACTACTCTGAAGTTCTCCTCAGACTTACTCTAAAACTCTCCACAGAAATACTCTGAAGTCATCCTCAGAACTACTCTGAAATTTTCCTCAGAATCACTCTGAAGTTCTCCTCAGAACTACTTTGAACTTCTCCTCAGAACTAAACTTTGTCCGGATGTTTTTATATGTAAATGTTTTCTGGTGTTTTCTAATGTAGATGTTTCCCGACGTTAGAACCAAACGTTTTAGGGATGTTTTTGGATGTACAAAGCGTAAGAATCAAAGTACGTTGTTCGGGTGTTTTTATATGTATATGTATTCTGATGTTTTCTAATGTAGATGATTCCCGATACGTTTTTCGGATGTTTTCACAAGTTAAAGTAAACGTTGTTATGATGTTTTCAAATGTAGTAGTTTTCTAATGTTTTTATCTCGTTCTGTACGTTAAATATAATGTGATGCGTTTCTGTTCCGCTTCCGTTCACATTGATTTCGTATGCTTTTTTTTTATTCTTCTATGTTCCTCTTCGGTAATTTTCCCATTTATGGATTATTTTTATTGATGATCTGATAGCTAGGCTAGGGGTTCATTTGTCCACCGTCTTGCGGCGTGCATTTGCCATTTTTTTCATTTAGTTTCTTTCGTTTCGCCTCCAGATCTCCCTTTAGGTAGACCCGTTGTGATAATTTTTCCACAGACAAACAGACATAACACATTGAATATTTATCACTTTAAAACATCGTCGCTAAAACATTACCGCCATCTGTTGAATACACAGTGGTAGGTAGTACGCTGAACAGATGGCGGTAGTGTGTAAACGTCAAACGCAAGGGAATTGACTATGCGCGCCACAGGTGGCGGTACTACCAACTACGATACTTTTAAATCGACCGTTAAATGCTTGTTCGATGAACAACATGCGAGTGTTATGTCTGTTTGTCTGTGATTTTTCTATAATAAAGTACACTTTGGACGGGATTGCTTGCATCTTTGATCCACTGTTCGGATACAAGTTACAAGCAACAATCAATACGAAACTAACGATTTTAAATTGGCTCACTACTTGACTAGCCTATCCAGCATTTTACGAGCGCTTATCGCCGCCACAATCTGGCTGAGTTTTTGGTAGGGATGATATGATTTGACGTTTGGGTTGTGTCGTTTGAGGTGTAAACGTTCAAATTTGATCGTTTACACGTCAAACGACGCAAGCCAAACTTCAAATCTTATGTTCCCTGCCAGAAACGCAGCCAGATTGTGGCGGCCATAAGCGCTCGTAAAATACTGGATTGGTCCCAAGTAAATCGACTAACGTACCCCTTTCTAGTATAAATTCCAGTACTACACTATGTTTGTTTTGATTCGCTATGAAAGCTTGACAGATAAAATGAGGGGTTATTGAATTTTCCTATGTTTCGAGGGGTGAATCGATTAGCTTGGGACCCAAGATAGTACCAGAGCTGAGCCAAAAAGTTGAGCACGTTTCTTCGGGACCTTCCTGTCTTAGAGTCATCTATGTTACAAGTCTCCCCCTTCACGGATCGCTCCTGAAGTTGCAGTCCTGAAGTTGGTTCTGTTGTCATTGGATGTATTCTGATGTTTTAGGTGTGTAACATTTTACTTTGTCGGTGATTTTACATCGTGATGAAGCTAGATTATTATGTAACGTTTAATTTTGATATCAACGTATGTGTCCTGATGTCAAATTTTACATCATCGAGACGTTTGATTCTGATGTAACGTTTGAGGCTAATGTATTTTTAAGTACTTGGACGTCACATTGAAGTCTGAATACATTAAGGGTATAGCAATACACGTAAAAATTTAATGTTTTGAATTTATATTCGGGAAGTTCTCGTCAGAACTACTCTTTAGTTCTCCTCAGAAATACTCTGAAGTTCTCCTCAGAATTACTCTGAAGCTCTCCTCAGAACTACTCTGAAGTTCTCCTCAGAATTGCTTTGAACTTCTCCTCAGAGCTACTCTGAAGTTCTCGTCAGAATGACTTTGAAGTTCTCCTCAGAATTACGTGGAATTACTCTAATGTTCTCCTCAGAACTAGTCTGAAGTTCTCCTCAGAACTACTCTGAAGCTCTCTTCAGAACTACTCTGAAGTTCTCCTAAAAACTACTCTAGATCATCGATGAAATTTTCAACATTTTCCTGAAATGTACGAGACTGTCTGAATGTTCTTTTGGAGATCTTTAAACTTTCCTGAGAGTTCCCTAAAATTCACAGAACTTTCATTAAGCTCCCGCAGTTTGCTTGATATTCATAACTCTTCTCCGAAGCTCGTGGTACTTCTTCTTAAAAGTGTTCCCATTTTTTTTAAGTTGATGAAAATTCAGAGACTGTCAATATACTTCGGAGAATTTCAAAGCCCCTTGGATATTTTTACATGGATTCAGATTGTTTAATTATTCAGAAGACCTTCTATTGATCAACTTTTCAATCAGATTAATCCCTCACATATTTCACTTAATTCTATGTCTAGTAGGAGTTGGACCGATTACTCGCGGCTTACTCGAGGTTAGAAGGGTACATTTTCGAAGGATAGGATCAGGGGAGGAGCTTGGGGTAGGGGCTTGTTGTCTCATCAGTGCGTTGTCGCCAGTATGAACGGTAGTGCTGTTCTAGCTTCGTCCGGAGTTCGACCGGCTATGGTGGGTGACAAGTGGGCGACGATGAGACTCATCGAGACGGGGGGACAAGACAAACAAAAACTAATAAAGAGAGACAAAAGACAACCCGAATAGAAATTGTAATGTAGGAAACATCAGCAGACATCTTCAATACATTAAATTTTAACGTGTATTGCTGTAATCTTAATGTATTCAGACGTCAGTGTGACGTCCAAGTACATAAAAATACATTAGCCTCAAACGTTACATCAGAATCAAACGTCTTGACGATGTAAAATTTGACATCAGAATACATCCAATGACAACAGAACCTAACGTTACATTAGAATCAAACATCATCACGATGTAATTTGTTGCACGCATAAAACATCAGAATACATCCAATGACAACAGAACCTAACGTTACATTAGAATCAAACATCATCACGATGTAATTTGTTGCACGCATAAAACATCAGAATACATCCAATGACAACAGAACCTAACGTTACATTAGAATCAAACTTCATCACGATGTAATTTGTTGCACGCATAAAACATCAGAATACATCCAATGACAACAGAACCTAACGTTACATTAGAATCAAACATCATCACGATGTAATTTGTTGCACGCATAAAACATCAGAATACATCCAATGACAACAGAACCTAACGTTATATTAGAATCAAACTTCATCACGATGTAATTTGTTGCACGCATAAAACATCAGAATACATCCAATGACAACCGAAGCTAACGTTACATTAGAATCAAACATCATCACGATGTAATTTGTTGCACGCATAAAACATCAGAATACATCCAATGACAACAGAACCAAACGTTACATTAGAATCAAACTTCATCACGATGTAAATTGTTGTCCCTCGGTCTCTCGCCGCATGCAAAGTTTGTTTTTCCTGAGTCAGCACTACACGGCGAATGAGAACGACCCAAATTTAAGGTTAGTTCACTCATAAATCGCAAAAAGTGCAGGAACTCAGTTTTGAATTAATTTCCCTCATGTTCCGAATATGAGAAAAGCAAAGATTGGATTCTCTGGATTCTCGTAAATTTTCCTTATTTTAGGGCAGATTTTTGAGGTTTTCCACAGGAAAACATGCGGCAAATTTACTCATCCTGCACTTTTTTCGATATTGAGTACACTGTACTCAAATTTGCGTTGATCTCATTGGCCGTGTACAGTTTTTTTTTTCGCAGTGGGAAAGAAGTTTTGGCATGCCCTGTGGGCAATGTTTATTTGTATGTAAAACAATGCCCTGGTGACGTTACAGTGCAAGAGTTAATTAGTGTTTTAATTGATTATTATCGTTTCAATTGAAAACCGATTTTACTCTTGTTCTGTACGTTAAACATAACGTCGGCTATAGTGTGCTGTACACGCTAACTTGAAAGTACCTATTAATGGTTGAAAAAGACCCATTTTGAAGAAAAGTGGCTTAACTCATTAAATGAGTAAATTTTTTACCCATTAATGAGTATCTGTTACCCATTATGAGTAATTGTTAATCATTAATGGGTAACAGATACTCATTAATGGGTAAAATTGTTTAATCATCAATGAGTTAAACCACTTTTCTTCAAAATGGGTCTTTTTTTACTCATTAATGAGTACTTTCAAGTTAGCGTGTATACCGCATCCGTGTATACGAATACACTTACTACCCCTGTTGGGTGGTTTTGCTCCTCCGTTTTTGACAACATTAGAAGGAGAAAAGGAGACAAACTAGTCAAAAGTAGGTAAAAGTGAACTGGCCGTTGGGTACTTTTTTCTTACCGTGTACGAATACAGCACCCCACACGAATAAAGCCCTACAGTAAAAGTATGGACGACTGACACCACAAAACTGAAAAAAAGCTGTTCCAATCGAGCAAAGCGGTGCATTTTGACGGTTCGATTGGAACAACTTTTGACAGACGTCCATACTTTTACTGTAGGGCTTTACACACGAATTGCCGGCGACAAAGTGACGTCATTTGACATTGGGCGACTTAAAGACTGACGTTTTTAAATTGGTGTGTTTTTTTTTTGTCGTGCGCTCAGCCATCTTGTCTGGTTTGTTTATAAACAAACTAGACAAGATGGCTGAGTGCACGGAGCGCACCGCAAATTCCTTCACCCGAGCCGCGAAGGAAAGTAGCAACTTTAACAGTAAGTATTCAAATATTATTTGTTATATTTAGTGTTATTATTTGTAATTTCTCATCCGGATTTCTCAAGCGGGTCAATTTTGATGTAATTATTTTCAAAAATTGATCCGGTTGAGATAAGCATCCTTGCTGATGCAACGCATCAACAAGGATGTTTAACTCATCAGGATTCCTCCAGCGGATCAATTTTGAAAAATAATGACAAATTCTAACAAACATCCAAAATTTTGATTAATTTGTATTTTTTTTTTCAGCCGGCTGCTTCCAATAATTCCGGATTGGGACGTGTACGGAAATTGAATAGAGGTAGGTGTTAAACAGTTTTTATTAAGTGTAATTATTTTTAAAAATTGATCCGCTGGAGGAATCTGACTGAGTTAAGCATCCTTACTGATGCAACGCATCAAAAAGGATGTTTAACTCATCCGGATTCCTCCAGCGGATCAATTTTGATGTAACTTTTTTCCAAAAATTGATCCGCTGGAGGAATCCGACGGATTTCATTGACTGATGCAAAGCATCAACAAGGATGATTAACTCATCCGGATTCCTCCAACGGATCAATTTTGATGTTACTATTTTCCAAAATTGATCCGCTGGAGGAATCCGGCTGAGTTAAGCATCCTTGCTGATGCAACGCATCAACAAGGATGTTTAACTCATCCGGATTCCTCCAGCGGATCAATTTTGAAAAATAATTACAAATTCTAACAAACAGATCCAAAATTTTGATTATTTTGTAATTGTTTTTTTTTTTCAGCCGCCTGCTTCCAATAATTCCGGAGGTGTTCGGGAATAGAGGTAAGTATTGAACAATTTGTTATTAAGTGTAATTATTTTTTTTTTAAATTGATCCGCTGGAGGAATCTGGCTGAGTTAAGCATCCTTATTGTAAGGATGTTTAACTCATCCGGATTCCTCCAGCGGATCAATTTTGATGTTTTTTTTTTCCAAAAATTGATCCGCTGGAGGAATCCGGCGGATTTAATTGACTGATGCAAAGCATCAACAAGGATGATTAACTCATCCGGATTCCTCCAACGGATCAATTTTGATGTAACTATTTTCCAAAAATTGATCCGCTGGAGGAATCCGGCGGATTTAATTGACTGATGCAAAGCATCAACAAGGATGATTAACTCATCCGGATTCCTCCAACGGATCAATTTTGATGTAACTATTTTCCAAAAATTGATCCGCTGGAGGAATCCGGCGGATTTAATTGACTGATGCAAAGCATCAACAAGGATGATTAACTCATCCGGATTCCTCCAACGGATCAATTTTGATGTAACTATTTTCCAAAATTGATCCGCAGGAGGAATCCGGCTGAGTTAAGCATCCTTACTGATGTAACGCATTCCGATACCGGATCCCGATGTTTATGTTTAAGTTAAAGTTTTATTATAGTTAAGTAAAATTTAAAGTTAAGTTAAATTAAGTATGTAACAACTAAATTTAAGTTAAAATTATGTTAAAGTAAAAGTTATGTTGATGGTAAGATAAACTTATGTTAAAGTAAAAGTTAAAATTTATTTAAAGTTACGTTAAAGGTAAGTTAGAGTTAAGTTAAGGTTACTTTTAAGTTAAGTTAAAGTTATGTTTAAGTTAAGATAAAGTTATGTTTAAGTTAAGATAAAGTAAAGTTAAAGTTATGTGTAAGATAAAGTTAAGTTCAAGTTATGTTAAAGTTAAAGTTAAGTTATAATTAAGTTTAACTTATGTTAAGGTAGAGTTAAAGTTAATTTAAAGTTTTGTGAAATTTATGTTAAAGTAAGTTTAAAGTTAAGTTAAAGTTATGTAAGAGAAAAAGTTATGTTATAGTTATTTTAAAGGAAAGATAAAGTTTTGTTAAACTTAAGTTAAAGTTATCCCTAATAAACGGATACCATACACTAACGATGTCATAGATGGTACGACCATACCGCATAAAGTTGGGATGATATCCCGAATTGGTGGTTAGGCGCTTCTTATGGTTATTGTTTATGCGGGATGTTAAAGTTAATTTAAATGTAATTTAAAGGTAAGTGAAAGTTTTGTTAGAGGTAAGTTAAAGTTATGTTAAAGGTAAGTTAAAGCTAAGTTTAAGTTATGTTAAACTTAAGTTAAATTTGTGTTATACGTAAGTTAATGCTATCTTAAAGTTAAAGTTATGCTAAAAATAAATTAAATTTATGTTAAATTTGGTAAAATTTAGGTTTTGCTAAAATTATGTTCAAGTAAAGTTAACGTTAAGTTTAAGTTAATTTAAAGTTAAAGTAAAGTTTAAGTTATTTTTAAGTTAAAGTTAAGTCTAGATTATTTTAGAGTTAAAGTTAAGTTTAAGTTATTTTAAAGTTTAAGTTAAGTTAAAGTTATGCTGAAGGTAAGTTAAAGTTAAGTTGAAGTTATGTTAAAGGTATGTTAAAGTAATTTTAAAGTTAAAGTTATGTTAAAATTAAGTTAAAGTTGTGTTATAGGTAAGTTAAAGCTATCTTAAAATTAAAGTTATGCTAAAAAGAAATTAAATTTATGTTAGATTTGGTAAAATTTAGGTTAAAGTTTTGTTAAAGTTAGGTTCAAGTAAAGTTTAGGTTAAGTTAAAGTTATTTTAAAGTTAAAGTTAAGTTTTAGTTATTTTAAATTTAAAGTTAAGTTCAAGTTATTTTATAGTAAAGTTAAGTTAAATTAATGTTAAAGATAAGTTAAAGTTACGTTAAAGTTGTGTCAAAGTTAAGTTAAAGTAATTTTAAAGTTAAAGTTATGTTAGAGCTTAGTTAATGTTATGGTGATCTTTATTTAAAGTTATGTTATAGGTAAGGTAAAGTTAAGCAAAAAATAAATTAAATTTATGTTATATTTGATTAAATTTAAGTTAAAGTTTTGCTAATATTATGTTAAAGTAAAGTTAAAGTTAAGTTTAAGTTATTGTTAAGTTAAAGTTATTTTAGCTTAGCTTAGCTTAGCTTAGTCTGACTGCACGTATCGATAGTTGCACTCCGTGATTGATCTAAACCAGTGAAATTGTACAAAGATTGTTAAGTTAAAGTTATTTTAAAGTTAAAGTTAAGTTTAAGTTATTTTAAAGTTAATTTTTTGTTAAAGTTAAGTTTAAGTTATTTTAAAGTTAAAGTTATGTTAAACTAAAGTTAAAGTTCTGTGATAGGTAAGTTAAAGTTAAGTTGAAGTTAAATTAACGTTAAGTTAAAGTTACGTTAAAGTTAAGTTAACGTTATGTTATGTTATGTTAAGTATAAGTTAACTTAAAGTTAAGTTTAAGTTAAAGTTAAAGTTAAAATAATTTTGAAGTTAACGTAATGTTCAAGGTAAAGTTAGGTGAAAGCTAAGTTAAAATTAAGTTAAAGTTATGTCAAAATTAAATTAGAGTTATGTTTATGCTTAAGTTAAGTTAAAGTTCAGTTAATGTTAGGATAAAGATATGTTGAATTTAAGTTAAAATTACGTAAAGGTTATGTTAAAGTTTAATTAAAGTTAAGTTAGAGATATGTTAAGTTTATGTTAGGTTAAGTTCAAGTTATGTTAATGTTAAATTTATTTTAAATTTAAGATTAAATTTAAAGTTAAGTTATAGTTCAGTTAATGTTAGGTTAAAGTTATGTTAAATTTAAGTCAAAATTAATTTAAGGTTTTGTTAAACTTTAGTTCAAGTTAAGTTAAAGTTATGTTAATGATAAGTTAAAGTTATTATAAAGTTTAAGTTAAGTTAAAGATCTGTTTAGTTCATGTTAGGTTATAGTTAAGTTCAAGTTATGTTAATGGTAAACTTATTTTAAATTTAAGATAAAATTTAAAGTTAATTAAAGTTAAGTTAATGTTAGGTTAAAGTTCTGTTAAATTTAAGTTAAAATTAATTTAAGGTTATGTTAAAGTTTAGTTCAAGTTCAGTTAAAGTTATGTTAAAGTTAAGTTAAAGTTATTATAAAGTTAAAGTCAAGTTAAAGATGTGTTAAGTTAATATTACATTAAAGTTAAATTAAAGTTATGTTAAATTTAAGTTAAAATTTAGTTAACAACAACGTTTAAGTTAAGTTAAAATTTGGTTAAAGTTATGTTAAAGTTAAAAATAAGTTAAAGTTTGTTAAAGTTAAGTTAAAGTAAAGTTAAAATTACGTTAGAGTGAAGTTAAAATTAAAATGATTTTAAAATTAAAGTAATGTTCAAGGTTAAGCTATGCGAAAGCTAAGTTAAAATTAAGTTAAAGTTATGTCAAAATTATGTGAGAGTTATATTAATGCTAAAGTTAATTTAAAGTTAAGTTAATGTTAGGTTAAAGTTATGTTAAAGTTAAGTTAAAATTAAATTAATGTTATAATTTTTTTTTCAATAACATAATATATTATTGTTATTTTACTGTTGGTTGGCGAATTTATTGATTAAAAAAATAACAGTGTACTTTAGAGTGTATGTGTTGGCTTGACAGATCTACCATAGAGGTAACTCTAAGACCACTGGGTCCCGAAGAAAATCATTATTATTTTTGGCTCACTCAGTACCAGAACAACGGTCCCAAGCAGTCCCAAGCTATTTCACTCACCCCTGCATGTTCTGCATGAATCAACACACCCCTGATGTTATCTGTCAAACTTTCATAGCGAATCAAAACAAACATAGTGTAGTAATAGAATTTCAACTAGAATAGGGTACGTTAATCGTTTGCTTGGGACCAATAGGCTACTAAAGTGGTGAGCCAATTTAAAATCGTTAGTTTCGTATTGATTGTTGGATCTACTTTATCGATTTTAAAAATAAATCGAAAAAATAAAACATTGCCCCGGGAAGGGAAGGGGGTGGCATGTCTGTTATGGGTGGTCCTTTTTTTTACTGGTTATGGATCGAGATTCGATCCGGAACTTGTGAGAAATACAGGCCAACTCCCCTGCGCTCGATATCCCTAGGTCACGTCTCCTTGGGGGTTGAGCGCCGTTGATAAGTTAATGCATTCGACTGGAGAGAATCGCCCATGAAATATGCTTCCACCTCGAGGGGGGCGACACATCTAAATCTCAATTCTAGATGATCAAAAAATCTTATACTAGCGAATCAATCTTCGAAAAATCATCTTTCATTTTTCCCATCTACTTGCATCGTGCTTCATCTTTTTGCAGGAAATCTTCAAAATCGACATAAATCTTCCTTCTATCTACTCAGCGTGCGTGCAGCTAGCCACAGTAAAACACAATCTTTTCTGCATCGTAGATAGAGTCGTCCCCCTCGTTCCACCTGAGAGTTCCTTTCTGACATCTTCAAGTGGTGGAGTTTTTTATTATTATTGTATGATTATTCCCTAATAAAAAATAACCATAAACGAACGATAACCCAAATCATTGAACTATTTCACAAATGGTTTGGATGATACCCAGAACACGTCGTTAAGCAAATTAACCATACAATTTTTATTAGGGTTGACTGCACGGAAAAGGTCTCCATTGACGAGTGCACGGATGGATTTGAGTTCACTCACTCGACAAAAAGTGACACAACAGCGGGGCCCTGTTTACTAAAAATGAACACATGAATAATACTCACGTAACATTTGAAACGAGTCTATAAACTTAGGTACACAAAACTTGTTAAGCCTTTTTCGCGCGAACCGAATACGCTCACGCAAACTAACAACACCATCGGGCAGAGGAAATTCTCCCCTTCGCGATAGTGCTCTTGGTTTGCGTGGGCGTACTTCGGTTCTCGTGAAAAGAACCTAGCAAATTATTTACAAAAGTTGATAGGCCCTTTTCAAATGTTAAGCGAGTATTATTCATGTGTTCATTTTTAGTAAACAGGGCCCCGCTGTTGTGTCACTTTTTGTCGAGTGAGTGAACTCAAATCCATCCGTGCACTCGTCAATTAAGCTTTAGAGAGGGTCTAGGATAAGATATGAGCGGACGCGGACTGCCTGATTTTGAGCCAAACGAACTGTCAAAGCCAGAGCCATACGAGCAGCGCCTATCTTAGTTACATTGGCAGTGTTGCTGATCCTCTCATAGTCTGCATGCTTCATCAGATTTATTTTTATTGTTCGTGAAGTAACCCACAATGAAAATACACCAATATTTAATGTAACAACAATTTTTATTGTAATAGAGTTGTTCATTATTGTTCATGATCGAATCATGTTAACAATAAAATAAATGAAAAATACGATAAAAATCATTGTAACAACATTTTATTATGTACATTCATTGTACAGCTAGGTAGCAGTTTTGCCGTTTTCGGAAGAGTACAACATTATAACAATCATTTTTATTGTCGACAATAAATATGAATGTTAGAGCATTGTTTCCACTGAAAATTTCACTGTAATTTTTTTTTCGGGAAGTTAAAGTTGAAGTAATGTTCAAGGTAAAGTTATGTGAAAGCTAAGTTAAAATTAAGTTAAAGTTATGTTAAAATTAATTTAGAGTTATGTTAATGCTTAAGTTAAGTTAAAGTTCAGTTAATGTTAGATTAAAGTTATGTTAAATTTAAGTTAAAATTACGTTAAGGTTATGTTAAAGTTTAGTTAAATTTATGTTAAAGCTAAAGTGAAGTTAAAGATATGGTCAGTTGATGTTAGGTTAAAGTTATGTTAAAATTTAAATTATAATAAATTTCAGTTAAAATTAAGTTAAGGTTATGTTAAAGTTTAGTTAAAGTTAAGTAAAAGTTATGTTAAATTTTCCTAAAAATCTGCAAATTACTTAGACGATCTTCGAACTTCCCTGAAGTTCTGTGTACTCCCTGAAGGTCTGTGAATTTCTCTGAAGATCTTCGAACTACCCTGAAGCATTAAAATATTAAAAATTTCTCTAAAAGTCTACAAAACTTTCCTGAATTTCTGCAATTTTTTTCTGAAGCAATAAAAATTTATCTGAAGACCTCCTTCAAGTTCTGCAAATTTCTCTGAGGATCAACAATCTTCCCTGAAATTCAGTATTTTTCCCTGACGTTCTGCCAATTTGCCTAAAGCTCTGTGAACTGCCCTGAAGTACTGAAAGTAACTCTTAGATGTACGAGGATCTTTAAATTTATGTGATCTTCCCTGAAGTTCTGTGAGTTTATCTAAAGTTCTGCGAACTTCTCTGAAATTCTGTTCTATAAATTTCCCTTAGGAACTAAAAAATTATCTTTAAATTTACGAACATCACTGTAGTTCTGTTAATTTCTCTGAAGATCTTCAAACTTCCCTGAAGATCTGTGAACATCCATAAAGTAGTGATTATTTCTCGAAACGACGACAAACATTACTGTAGTGCTGTAAATTACTCAGAAGATCTACGAACTTCCCTGATTTTCTTTTGATTTCTCTAAAGATTTCAGTTTTTTAAAACTTCTCTGAAGTTTTTTTTTTAATTTCCCTAAAGTTCTGCTAGTTTCTCTGAAGATCTACGACCTTCGGTGTAGTAAGATCTTCATAACAATTTCCGATTATTCTACGTTCTGAAGAAATTTTCAAACGACTTCAATTCGATTTTTTATCAGATGTTGGTCCTCAGAATAATTCCTGATCAACTTGACCTCTTCGAAAAATATCTCAAGATTTTAATTTCTAATCCTTATCAACCTGACCACTTCGAATATTTTCTAAATTACTTTATTTGAATTTCTGATCAGTTGTAGGTCTTCAAAACAATTCCTGCTTATTTTGATCTCTTGTAGTAATATCCGAAAAGTTTCGATTGATTTATTGATCAGTTGTAGGTTCTCAGAATAATACCTGATCAATTTAAACTATTCAAAGAATATCAAAAGGACATCGTTTGAATTTCTGTTCAGTTGTAGGTCTTCAGAATAATTATTAACTTAAATTAAATTAAATCTGGTATTTTTCTGATGTTTATAGAACTACCAACAATCAATACGAAACTAACGATTTTAAATTGGCTCACCACTTTAGTAGCCTATTGGTCCCAAGCAAACGATTAACGTACCCTATTCTAGTTGAAATTCTATTACTACACTATGTTTGTTTTGATTCGCTATGAAAGTTTGACAGATAACATCAGGGGTGTGTGGATTCATGCAGAACATGCAGGGGTGAGTGAAATAGCTTGGGACTGCTTGGGACCGTTGTTCTGGTACTGAGTGAGCCAAAAATAACAATGATTTTCTTCGGGACCCAGTGGTCTTAGAGTTACCTCTATGGAACTACCCTGAAGTTCTAGTAGTTCTTCTAACTAACCTTAAAATGTACATTTACCCCTATACCGCTATGCCGCTGTCCTGGTGTCATTGGGTTCGGCCCTTTACCTGGCTCGTAGACATTTCAAAGACAACAATGTCTGCATGATGTTTATACATCGGTTCAAACTATGCGTATTGATAAGTTTTCTGAAAAGATTTGGATCTAGGTGCATAGTTTGCTTTGATAGTCTTTCAGTTTCTCTAGCATTCTCTAGTCTTAGCTCATCTAAATATTTATTGCAAAATCCCTGGATTAATCTTCAATTTGGCTTTGTTTTCTTGTTTATTTTCTATCGTTCTATGTTCTGCAACCGAGTGGCAACCACTTACGCTAGGGAGGCAATTGAACACCTAGACCTGGACTCATCAACTCAAGGGCCAGGATCCACGGCTGTGCTTCTTTTCGAAGGAAGGCATGACACCACCAAAGCAACCAAGGAAGTCATCAATCCCCACCAACTGACGAGTTTCGTTTGTGGTTCGACACATGGACGGAGCATTTGTGTTTTGCTAAATTTTGCAAATTATTGGGGAATTTCCCTAAAGTTTCACGCGGCCACCAGTTTTCACTCTTCCACAGGCCTTAAGGGTAACCCACATTAGATCTGCTTGCGTTGCGTTGTCGTAAATTTTATAGTTAGACAATATATTTAGCTGTCACTTTGCTGCATCGCGCCAGATCCGGATCTAATGTGGGTGGCCCTGTAGATTTGGAAACTTGATTATGTAAACACTAGGCATCTTTGTCTGGTAGTTCGTTCAAAAATGATACAACAATCGTCAAGCTCGCTGTAACGTCACCTAGTGCCTCGTCACCTACAAATTGGCGCCTATGTCAGTGGTCTAATAACTCTTAGCGCGCTAATGGCATAGTTCCCCTGCCGCATAGAGAGTTACCACAATGACATTAGGTTAGCTAAGGTCAGTTAACTGACTGGTGGGAAACGGGAGCTTACGCAATGGCTATTCTGTATGCATTTAAGAGATAGTCTACCAGAATGGATGATTTTTTTTGTACAATTTTATGTTTTCTGATTGTGCAAAACATGAGAATTAACTTTTCCAATGCTTTCAATTGTACAAAGCATTAGTGCTAGAAACATGATCTTGTAAACACTACACACCTTAACTGTTAGTTTGATTAAAAAATGCTGCAACAATCGTCAAGCTCGCTGTAATGTCACCAAGTGCCTCGTCACCTACAAATTGGCGCCTATGTCAGTGGTCTAATAACTCTTAGCGCGCTAATGGCATAGTTCCCCTGCCGCATAGAGAGTTGCCGCAATGACATTAGGTTAGCTAAGGTCAGTTAACTGACTGGTGGGAAACGGGAGCTTCAGCATTGACAGTTATGTACGCATTTTTATGATGTTATCTAACAACAATGGTGTGTAGTGTTTACACGATTATGTTACTAATTCTAATGTGTTGTAAATATAATTGAAAGCATTTGAAAAGTAAGATTCTAGTGGTTATACTACTTAAAACATAAGTAAACATCTACATTTTAAAACATTCAAACAACGTTTACTTTAAACGTTTTGTACATCTGAAAACATCAGAGAACAACAAACAGGAAGTACAATTGAAAACATCCGAACAACGTTTAGTTCTAACGTTGTGTACATCCGAAAACATCCAAAAAAACGTTTGGTTCTAGCATCGGGAAACATCTACATAAGAAAACATTAGAATACATTTACATATAAAAACATCCGAACAACGTTTAGTTCTAACGTTTTTTACATCCGAAAACATCCAAAAACGTTTGGTTCTAACATCAGGAAACTTCTACATTAAAAAACATCAGAAAACATTTACATATAAAAACATTTAAACAACGTTTAGTTCTAACGTTTTTTACATCCGAGAACATCCGAAAACGTTTGGTTCTAACATCGGGAAACATCTACATTAGAAAACATCAGAAAACGTTTACATATAAAAACATCCGAACAACGTTTAGTTCTAACGTAATGTACATCAGAAAACATCCTTAAAACGTTTGGTTCTAATGTCAAGAGATTGAAATTTTTGACGTCAGACCGACATTAGAATGGCAAAATTTTGTTCCAAAATTTCTGATGTATACACCATGTTACGTTGCTTAAATACAACTAAATCATAATGTTTTCTAATGTTTGACATCAGGCATACATTTGATTTCGATGCTGATGTAGACATCAAAATCAAACGTTGGGCTAATGTAAATTTCTATTCGGGAAAAGGAATTATATTCTTATACTAGACATTTGAAGAAAAACATAAACGGACTGCATATAGCAGAGATCACGGGTTGCCAACACGTCTCTGATAGGAACATAGGGTTGTCTTCCTTGGGCCTCGAGGGTATTCAAAAGTCGCTCTCTGGCGGCGTCATTATCCGTACATTGCCAAACTGCGTGTTCGATGTCATCGTAACCGTTTCCACACCGACAGATGTTGCTGTCCACGAGGTTTATTCTATTGAGATGAGCATCTAGCGAGTAGAGGTTGGACATAAGTCTACTCATCACGCGAATGAATTCACGACTTAAGCCCAAGCCTTTAAACCACGCTCTCGAAGAAACATTAGGAATAATTGAATGTAACCACCGTCCAAGATTTCCAGTGTCCCAATCGGTTTGCCAACTCGAAAAGGTACTCTGACACACTAAATGGTAAAATCCATCGTGTGAAATTTGCCTGTCATACAATTCGCCTTCCTGCGCGCCCACCTTTGCGAGAGAGTCCGCCTTCTCATTACCTGGGATTGAGCAATGTGAGGGGACCCATACAAAGGTAATCATATATGATCTTTCGACCAGCACACACATCTGCTCCCTTACCTTTGAAAGGAAATAAGATGAGTGCCTAGATTAGTGCCTACCTTGTTTCATCGACCGAATAGCCTCAATCGAACTGAGACTATCCGTGAAGATGAAGTAATGGTCTGCGGGCATGTTGAAAATCATCCCCAATGCGAAGTTGATTGCTGCCAGCTCAGCAACAAAAACGGAACAAGGTTCCTGAAGTTTGCGGAAGGCGCTAGAGTTTTCATTGAAGACACCGAAGCCAGTGGATCCATTGAGACGGGACCCGTCTGTAAAATATCTTTTCATGCAATTGACTTGTTGGTACTTTTCAGTAAAAATACGCGGAATAATAATAGGTCGAAGTTGATCGGGAATCCCATGAGTTGCTTGTTTCATGGTCAGATCATATTCAATTGAGGAACTGCGATTGGTGAAGTGAACACGGTCTGGAGTATAACAAGGAAGACACATATCTGATGATATGTAGTGGTGGTAGATTCTCATAAATCGAGATTGTGTGTTCAGCCCAAGAATTTCTTCCAAATTAGCAATTATAAGTGTGTTCGTCACTCCGCATTTGATTAGTATTCTGAGAGAGAGCTCCCAGAAACGGTTCTGGAGGGGTGTTACTCCTGCCAGAACCTCGAGACTCATGTAATGCGTTGAGTGCATACAGCCGAGAGCAATACGCAGACAACGATATTGAATTCGTTCCAATTTTATTAGGTGACTTTTTCTTGCCGAGAGAAAGCAGAAAGAGCCGTACTCTAGAACAGAGAGAATAGTTGTTTTATAAAGCGTTATGAGGTCTCCCGGATGAGCACCCCACAATGTGCCGCAAATTGAACGGAGAAAGTTGATCCTCTGCTGACATTTTTGCTTCAAATACGTAATATGGGCATTCCAAGTGCACTTTGAATCAAACCAGACCCAAGTTCATGACGATTATCTTCATTAATAAAATTCCACACATTTTTAGTGACGATTTTCCATGTCAAATTCTACATGATTTTCATGTGACCACACATAAACAGAATCCATCCAGAAGCACACATGAAATGTTTGAGTCAAATCAATAGTATATGGGTAGTTACACATGGCTTTTATGTGTACACATATTAAGTATGTGTCCGACTCATCTATATCATTTGTTGATCAAATTGCAAAAATTCATGTGTGGGGTACATAAAAACAATATTTGAAATTTTATTAGTGTAGTTTGAAGATCTACAATGCCCCGTAGCGTGGGTAGATCACCTTTTCGTGGTACGCTGCGGGATGTAAGATCTACCACTGATTCCTAGTCCTGACTACTTCTAACTAGGTGAACAGGATTTTTCAGTAATCCAAGGAACACATCTTATAGTACGTTCAGACTACAGAGTTATAACATGTTATAGCGCTATCTTGATGGTGGTTTTGGTGTTGCAATTAGTTGACATGTTATAACTCTCCAGTCTGGACAGCGTTTTAGTCCTTGTTACTTTTTATGCCTTGTTGATAATGACAAGACTCGGCTTTGTCTACCGAGGATGATCTTGAAACAAGGAAAAAAAAAATGATTTACTCAGAAAAAAAAAGTTGTTGAATATTACATCCAAACTGCTGCAACCAATCCATCGGTTGTGTAATATAACGTTGTACCATAGAGGTAACTCTAAGACTAGAAGGTCCCGAAATAACGTGCTCAACTTTTTGGCTCAGCTCTGGTACTCTCTTCGGTCCCAAGCTAATCGATTCACCCCTCGAAACATAGGAAAATCCACGAACCCCTCATTTTATCTGTCAAACTTTCATAGCGAATCAAAACAAACATTGAGTAGTACTAGAATTTCGACTAGAATAGGGTACGTTAATCGTTTGCTTGGGACCAATAGGCTACTAAAGTGGTGAGCCAATTTAAAATCGTTAGTTTCGTATTGATTGTTGGTTGTACGATGTACATCGATTTTGCGAACAAAATTACATCCATTGATGTAATATTGTTCCTGATTTTTGATATTACATCATTAGTTCATACATCAGCTTGAATTACATTGATCGATATTACATTTTTTTTGCTGTGTAGTTGTCTTCTTCTATGTGATTCCTAATCTTCTATTCGTTGTTCCCTATACACTTAGAAATTTTTACAGAACTCTGTAAAATTTTACCGAAATCTCAACAGCTGTACGTTCGGTAAACAGTTTCGCAGATCTCCTGTAATTTTTCACAAATATCTGTGAATTTTTCACAGATATCTGTAAATAATTACTGGAAAACTGTAAAATTGTTTACCGAACGTTCAGCTGTTGAGATTTCGGTTAAATTTTACAGAAATCTGTAAAATAATCTTAGTGTGTAGTTCCTAACTACTTCAATCTAGGGGAACAGGATTTTTCAGTAATCCAACACACAAAGAAAAATCGTTGCTAAAATTAAAAAAATCATTGATAGAATTAAAAGTTCGCATTGGTTCTTTTTGGTAGAAAGCGGTTGACTTTCAAAACAAAAGTCAGCCAACTGTTAAATCAAAAATTGTTCGCCCTATACTTTTAAAAGTTAAAGCTTTCAAAATAAATTGTATTACTATCAAATTGAAAACACGGCAGTGATAGAATTAAAATCAGGTTCTTTTCAATTCAAGACGATGTTTTGATTTGAAAATGTGATATAGTTAAAACGATAAGTAACATTTTGAAATAAAAAATACACATTTTCACCGTAATAACATCTTTATTCATTTTAAATTCTAAATAATATATAATTTAAGGTTATCAGATATAAGAAAAAAAGATTAAAGTACATTTATTATCCATTTCCTTTACAAGCGTTATGCAATGAGATTCACGAAGAGACACATATTCACATCCCGTCAAGTAAAGGTCGAGTGAAGGAACACAAAATCCGGACAATGGCAAGGCAAGCTTGATATTGTTTACCATTTCGTAATCTGTAAATCCTATGCCGCAGCTTCATAAAGTACCAACTGGTGACGGGTTTTACGGGCAGCGGGTTCTCGTCCTTCTCCCGATCAAAGTTTAATTTACCTTTTTCGTTATTATCCAGTAGGGCTTGATCCTTCTCCAACAGGAATTTGATAAGGTCGATACCGAAAACTGTCGCGACTTCTTCCTGGTAGATTCCATAGTCTGATAAAAAAAAGAATCTAAAAATCCAATAACAATAACAATGAAAATAGTGTACTTACCATTTGGAATGCCAATTTCACGTGGGTCTCTACATAGCAGCAAATAATGTCGGAATATCCAACTGAGAAAACTTCAGTGTCTGGTATCCCACAGAAGAATCCTGACTCTTGTTGTAACTTCAAAGCTGGATTTCATGTTCACAGCGGCCAGACTAGCAGAAAAGGCGGCATATGAGATGTCAGTGCAGCCAGTAAAAACATCGTAGTGGGGTACTTTTGACAGTTTAACAACTTTTGTTTTAAAAATATGTACTTTTAAAACCACGAATCAAAAGTAAAAGAAAAACTTTCAATTAAAAAAACTAACTTTTATTTTGAATCTTTTTGCTGTTGAATCTACAAATTTTGGGAAACTTTGAATTTGAAAATGCATTATTTTTATTAATACAATTTTCGTTGTTTGTGTGAAGGAACACATCTTAATCCTTGTTACTTTTTATGCCTTGTTGATAGTGACAAGACTCGGCTTTGTCTACCGAGGATGATCTTGAAACAAGGGGAAAAAATGAGTTAGTTGTATTCATCTATGTGATGTAATCTTCTATTCGTTGTTCCCTAGTTTGAAGTGGTTAAGACAGGTTAAGACTAGGGTTCTGATGCATGGTCATTATCGGTGCCATACCTTAATTTTGTTGCTAAGGAATCCAATTTTGACTGACAAAGGGGCGCGCCTTTGGAGGGTGTTTCAACACTCCGAAGGGTATAAATATCGGGACCTTTCAATTAAAGTCGGATCCTTGCGATAAATGCAAAAGTGGCAACTGTAAAAAAATCGAATACTTCATCATTTCTCAATAGTGATGGAGCAATACGACATGCACTAAACAAAGGACACGGGATATACTACAATAGATCAATTTACTGGTATGTAGTGTTAGGTCCCGAACAGAGCAAAAAAAAAAGATCTCCTATTGATTGAAAGTGCAAGGACGACTCTCGAATATGATGCCTTTAAGTAGATCAAGTATTATCCTGAAGATCTTGGACTGATCAAAAAATTCAATGACGTCTTGTAAACATGCTTTTAAGATGCAAGCTAGATCAGGGATCATTCAAAAGATCTCTTCTATATGATCAAAAATTCTTTTTTTCAAGTATTTTTTTTATTCTTCTGGTAGATCAGGGATAATTTAGGTAACTGAAACAAAAAATCAAATGATGTTTTTGGAGGCGAACCAGCCTCAGGCTGAAAGCCTCCTTAATAAAGATAAATCAATCAATCAAATGATGTTCTTCAGATAGGTATTCGTATATGAATTTTATTTACATAAAAATTATTTTAATATTATATTGTCCGTATTGCACACCGTAGTTCAACCATAGAGGTGGCTGAGAGTAGTTCTGAGGAGAAGTTCAAAGTAGTTCTGAGAAGAATATCAAAGTAGTTCCGATGAGAACTTCTGAGTAATCTTATGCGTGCTTGCAATGTGGGCGAGATTGTGGGTAGGAATGCGGTAAAGCGGCAGCGGTATAGAGGTTAGTGCGCATTGTGTTCAGTCCTTCAGTGAAGTTTGAACTGTTCTAAAAATTGATTTTTTCTATGTGGTGCAAATCTCGTTCATGCAAAGCACAATTAAAAGGGGAATAAAATTTGTATGCAAAAAAAAGTGATTGAGCAATTTGACTCAGTGTGTTGGTCCTTTGATTTGGCCGTGTATGTATATTTGGCTGGCGGGATTTATGAAGGAATGCCTCTACTGTAAAACAAGAACGCAGCCGAATCAATAAAAAAAAAGTGCAAAACAAAAACAAACCGGCTCTTTCTTGAGTGATGATTTTGAAAAATATTTTCTGTGATTTAGTAAAAATTAAGCAACTACGACAAGTAAGTACATATCATATTTGCAACTTCTTGCTTTGAGAGTTTACCATGACGTGTTTCGAATACAGTTGTGTAGATATTAGATGAATCAACATAACATTTGGTATAGTAGGGGTTGTTCCCCCCTCCCCCCCCCTCATCCTGCGTAGATATTTGACCATACCTACTTTTTAGAAATTTGTGTGGAGCGTAGACACATAGACAATTTAAGCCTCATTCTTCTTGTTATAAATTGTACATAATAGGGACATAGTATGAAAAAACGTATTCACGAAAAAGAACATTACTAAGCCTATCTGTAGAAGCTGCTATCCCAATGTAACATTTCAAACCAACTGTGTCACAGAGGAGCAGGGTTGCCAAAAGCAAATCTGTATTTTTGCTTATACAAATCTTTTCATCTGTATTTCTTCGGAAAATCTGTATCAATATCTGTATAATTTTAATATTGCGTATTTCGCTCCAAAATGAACAAAGAAGTGTTGGAAGTACGGTATCGGTCATAAAAGTGCGCTTTTCCATCAAATCGTGTTAGTACATTTTGCGCCGAATACATTAATAACGGTAAGCTTCAACTTGGATTTACTTTTAATACCGTTCCTGTTTGGAAAATCTGTCAAATGTTTGCTTAAGATTGAATTGTTGAATAGCACCGTCGATACCAAATCAAGCCAACATTCGTTATCGGGATTTGAACCGAGGATAATATCAGTTGGTGCTTACCGCCATAAAATCATTCTAGTATTAGTAATCCAAAAAAAACAACGTATTATATACAATTTGTGACGTACGTGCATGTACTTACAGTGCTGTCATGCAGGTGTGTGTGACAGTTTTTGAAGTTTTAAGTTCTTTTTTTTTGTATACTTAAAAATATGCTTCACAAAGTGACAATTCAACCGTAACGTTAAATTATGTTTAAAGTTTTGGGAAGTGTTTAAACATTGACATAACTTAGAACATTTTTTCTTATAAATCAACTATTCAGTAACAGCCCTTACCAGACTTAAACAAAATTAATAAACTCAATTTTTCTCACAAAACGAGTTCCTTGTATTCAATGTCAACTAATTGATGGATAATGGGTTCAATATTTTAATGTTTTAGCTTGTATTAAAGAAGTTTGATAAAATGTCATTTTTAAGTATTTTTGAACCATGTGGTACCCGTTCACCGCTCGACCTCCATTTACCCGAAGACAACATATCAAGAAGACTGGCAACTCTTCCATTTTCTCGTACGACCGCTATGAGACAAGTACACTTGTGTCATCTGCCCGCTCAAAGGTAAATGCTTCGAACGAATTTGATAGCAAAGATTACATCCTCAGAAGAAAGGTTTGTGCATTTGCTCATTTTTCTATGCGTTGCTTCCACCTTCGCTCAAGAGCAGCGCTACTGTATCTGTCGCTTGGATTCTGGCAAAGTTGCCAGTCTTCTTGATATGGTGTCTTTGATTTACCGCTCATTCTATCAACATTTTTTGAAAAAGTTCGCAATATGAGTTCTAAACATGCATTTAATCAACTTATTCACTTGTGTAAAGATGCCTGCTGATCATAAACTATCGAAAATTTTATTTCACTGTTTATTTTCGAACAAAATTACTTTTGTTTACATCCATATGGGCGGTGAATGGAGATCCAACAACGGTCAACTCAATAATTAATCTCAAATAGATATTACTACCAATATATCATGATAAAGGCGAGTGTTTAATCAATGTCACTAAGTTGAAAGCATTCACAAGCTCGTATAAGTGCATCAAAGCTAGGACGCTACCATTATCTCCGGAACTTGAATTTCAATTTCAAAGATACTCAGTTCGCCAACTTTTTCTCTAACAGCCAACGGCCTTTTCCGCACTGTATCGAACCATCTTTACGACTATCGACAAGATGAAATACCTAAACCAGCAGGAAGCCATCAGCGTGGACGAGGAACTCTTCAACGAGTACAAATTCAGCGTAGATCAGTTGATGGAGCTAGCCGGCCTGAGCTGCGCTCACGCCATCAACGATTGTTATGGATCCATGCCCAGTACCAACAAACGAAAGGTCCTGATATGTTGCGGTCCTGGAAATAACGGAGGAGATGGCCTTGTGGCCGCTCGACATTTGACGTTGATGAACTTTGAAGCTCACGTATACTATCCGAAGCGCACGGAGAAAGATCTGTTCATCAATTTGCAACATCAGTGTGAATCTATGGGAATTACGGTGTCCAAAGAGTGTCCCAGCTTGGAATGGGTCGATCGAGAGTTTGGACTGATTGTGGATGCTCTATTTGGATTCAGTTTCAAACCTCCAGTCCGGGAGTCGTTTGTGCCGATTATGGACGTTCTGAAGCAAAGCAAAGTGCCGATTGTAAGGTATGGACTACGGAGTAGCGCAAGTTTTTCGTTGTAAGTGTAGTTAAGTACCTAACCGTCATTTAACGTTCTAGTGTGGACATTCCCAGTGGATGGCACGTGGAGGAAGGTCCACAGGATGAGCACAGCATCAAACCGGATTGTCTAATCTCGTTGACGGCACCGAAGCTATGCGCCAAAAAATTAGCGAATGCGAAACACTATCTCGGTGGACGGTTCGTTCCACCGAAATTGCAGGAAAAATATGCAATGCAATTGCCTTCTTACGATGCCAACAATCTCTTCGTTAAGCTTTCTTAAAGTGCTATTTTTTTCTTTTTCGGAGGTTTTGGGACTTTAGATTTTAATGAAAATTGTTTGTCGAAAAAATAAACTGCTCGCTTTATTTTCATAAAAAAAATATTCGAAACCCTTCCAAATCTCATACAAACTAACAGTAAAACAACTGGTGCACTATTTCTGAAAGCTTCCCCACCCACTGCGATAGACCAGTTCGGCTGCCCGCCGTGGTCGGAAATAGGACACGGCAACATCTTCGATCTTGGGGAATGGGCTGCAGTTGGTGCTTTTGCTAAGAAACTCCTTCCTCCGGGGTTCACCCGCCGAGGAATTGCTCTCGCAATTGGGTAGTTTGGTGAGAATCATCGTAGAACTCCGCTCCAGTCGCCCCGGTGCCGTAAGGGAAGTCTGACTGTCACGGCCGGTTTTCGTTGGCGATGATTCACTTGGCTGTTGCTGCTGGACGGAATCGGCTGGTGGAGGAAAATTCAAATTACTTCCCAAGAAATATTTTAGAGTGTAGTAAAACTATATTATTAGGGGCTGTTCATAAACTACGTAGACAGTTTTTGGGATTCTTGACCCCCACCCCTCCCCCTGCGTAGACAATTGTTCATACAAAAATTTTAAAATTTGTATGGGCCATGGATAATTGTCAACCCTCCCCCCTAAACTGTCTACGTAGTTTATGAACAGCCCCTTACACGTGATACCAACATTTTCTTTTCAACTACTTACCAGGAGGAAATCGTACTCTTAGCAGCGTGTCGTCCGGTAACTTCCACTTGTTCAGGTCATCATTCCACTCCGAATCCAGTTCTAAGGACTCCAAATTCCAATACCGCCCATCTTTCCTCAGTACCGGCATCGCTTTCTGAAACACTGCCTCGTAAAACAGTATCTTCTTCTCTAGCAACCTAATCGTAGTCAAATAGTCAGCCCGATCAGTTTGAAACTCTCCCTGAATGTCAGAGATATCCCGCTCCAGCGACTTTATTCTCCTCCTCTGCTGTCTAATCTGCTCGTAACGCACCTTCAATTCCTGCTGAATGTCAGTGTAGTGCCCTTGAAGCAGGTCTCGGTCCCCACTCTGCTCTACTCTACTTATCACATGAGCCAATGCATTCAACCGCTTCTGCGATGCCAACTTGCTGCGATAGCGCTTCTCCTTCAACTGGATATCATTCGCTCGTTCACCTCCAATTAGCGCATCCTTGATTTCCTTGATTCGATTGTAGATTTCCTGTTTGTCAACTGGCGACTTCACCGTTGTTGCCGCCGCTACACCATCTTGTACCTTTTCCGTGTTTCTCTTCGAAATCAACTCCTGCATCTGTCCTTCATAGTAGGACTTTATCTTCTCGATGTCCTTCACCAGCTCCTGCTTGGCAATCTTCTGCTGTTCGTACTCCTTCCTCAGATTCGCCACGTCCGTATCGTACTGACCTTTCAACGCTCGTTTTTCATGGTCAAACGAAGATTGTACCACTCCGGACGCAACAGCAGTTTCTAGCACATCTCCCGCAGAAAGCCCATTTCCAATCGGCAGCTTTCCCTCGCTCGCCAGCATTTGCTTTAATCGCTGAATCTCTTCCTGATACTCACGCAGCATAGTATCCTTCGGATCTTCATTGATCTTCGGTTTGTTGGCAATGTTCTTCGCTCGACTAGCATAGCGTAGTGTCGAAAGCGTTTCATCGTAGTTGAAATCCGCTGGCGAGATACATGCGACCATCAGTGTCTTTGTGTTTCCTCCCAGCGAATCCTGCAGCAGTCTCGTCAATTTGGAATCCCTGTAGGGCACGTGCTTCGTCTTACCGTCGACTAAGGCCGAGATTACATTCCCCAGTGCCGAAAGTGAAAGGTTAATTTTGGTCGCTTCCTTCAACCGGTCACCGGTTGCTCCAGTCTTACTCTGTCGCTCGGACCCGGCTAAATCCACCAGGTTTAGCTTCCCTCGTTTTATCACAGCATCCTGCCCGGCACCGGTCGACATCTGCTCCAAGGTAATAGTAAAGATCGAATGCGACCGGGAGCTCTCAACGTTCATCAGAGTGGCACCAACTATTCGATTCTTCGCTCCCATATCCAATAGTTCTATGCATTCCTTAATTCCGTGCACCGTGTGCATAGAGAGACCTTGTACGGTAACGCCATCGCCGGGATGTTCCTTGATGGCCAGACTCGTACCTCCAGAACTCAACGACAACAGATCACGAATGGTTTCGTTGTAGATCTCTAGGTAACTCACGAGAACCAGATACCGCACGTCGCTTGCCACGGAAATCGCTTCGAACACATGCTCGAACGACCGTGGGATGATACCGATGTTGTTGGCGTTATTCGGATCCGCTGCAGACATGTTGTACGTAGTCCCCTGCATGGTGTGCGACTTACCGCAACCGGTCTGCCCATACGCAAAGATTGTCGCATTGTAGCCCTCGAGAACGCTCTGAAAAACGATAAAGGTTTGAGGTATCATGGACATACATTTGTAGAGTTCCTCACCTCGATCAACGGGTAGCAGATTTCACTATAGATGTTCTCGGTAGTCGCGGCATAACCGTAGGCGCTATCGAATTTGAACGACTTTTGCGGTGCGCTAGAGTCGCTCGGATTGTCCAGATTCACTGTAGAATTGTCGATTTGGGTGATGTTCTGCGAAAACAAAAAAATGCACCGTTAGCGATACGTAAGATGAGGTACCATTGTTTCACTGCAAACCTTGCAACCGGACGATTGCTCCCGTTTGTTCATCGGCCTGCACCGAACCACAACCTTGACGTTTTCAGCCATTTTTCCGACTGTTTTTTTGTTATTTCTAAACTACTAAAAAATCACAACTTGCTGGGAAATTCCTGTGACTGTATTAGGTATAATAGCATTCACGATAGTCATTGTTAAATTTTTCCATCGCTTCCTCTCACCACTGTCGAACGATGCATGTTGGCATTATGACGCGGCAATCTGCGAGAATAAAAAAAAGGAAAAACACATAAACATGGTAATTAAGCGTGTAATTTATTCAGGAGGCGTGGTGTGAAAGGTTATGTATGCTTGGCTGTGTTTGCCGTTAGCAAATAATATCACGGTCAGGACAACACTTCGTAAAGGTTGTAATGCGTCTGCTCTGCTGAATATGTGAGAAATTAATAACAATAGTAATTTGCTTGTTTCACTTATCGAGAAAAAAAAAATCATCCCTAATGACAGATTACAGAGCCTAACAATCAAAACAAGGGAGAAAGCTATGTATTTGCAATATCTATCTATATCTGTATACCAATACTATTGATAACGGAATAATCAATAGTTGCGCTCACATGTCCAACAACATTCCCTTTTATATTACTTGGAAAATGTTCATGGGTAGGGCGGAGAAGAAGCATGTTTACCTGATTCGTCATGTATGCCGGTCTCCGGTCGGGAGGACAAGGTCAGCGGAAGTGAATTGTATCAATTATGCAGGAAACGGATCGAACTATTCATATAAGTAAGTGTAATATTTGTTATCTGACATCGACATGGGTTTCTCTTGATTTACCGTTATTAACATAGAATTATTACGATGGGTTTGATCGACGCTTTCGACGCACCAAAGCTCGTTGAACTTTCTACAATATCTATTTTTGGTGTTAACTTGCGGATATTGACCCTACTAATCCTACATGTTAAGCAGTCCAACGATGATTGATAATTGTGGATGCCAGATAATCTGACCGTTTTGAATCGACACTTTTTAATTTGTGTCTTGCCAATATGCGCTGTAGAAATTCGTGGGAATTTTCCATCTTTTAGATGCACTTCGTATCTGTAGAGGTCAGATAACACCGCACTACGATAACACCGACGACTAAAATTATTACAGTACCAAACTTTGCACGTGGTCCCAGGTCAAGGAAAACGCAAATCCCACACGCCAGACGAGGAAGAGGAACCCAATAAAACCATGGATGACCAAGAAAAAAGTAAGAGGTTGTATCCAAAACACGACCGAAGATTTGACGTAGGATTATGTACTCGGTATCAATGTTCGGCGACTGTGTTAGGGAAACCACTTTTTTTCCCATCACGGAAGCGCCTTGTTTACTGATTACAAAATTACGCATTTTCGTGCACAAAACGCACGGAATTTTTGGTTTATTCAATACCTAGATAATAAAAAAGCGAAAATTGATTGGGGAAATTTCTTGCTAAAATTTTCCATTCGCAAGATATTTGCGATCTACCTCAGTGAAGACCTAAGAATATGATAAGGCTCGACTTATGAACATAAGATTTTCGTCTAACTTGAGGTAACTCTTATATGCCTTTAACCATTTAATTTTCCCAAGTGTGAAAGACGAGTGGTCAACCGCAACGTCCATTATCCGGTTCCAGTCTGCTCCGATTTATAATTTTTTGACAACATTATTTTTCATCAAATCAATTAAATTCACACTCATTTCTTATGGCTAAAATTCATAAGTGTTTCTTATGGAATTCTTACGTTCTTTTGCCTGCGTGTGTAAATTCGAGATTTTTTGCTTTTTTCTAGCGTCCTGGAGAAAACCTTACCTTAACTCGAAGTGTTTTTGGTTAATTGACAAGGTCATGTGCTATTCGGTCATTGGGAGAATAATTGTTAAGTGAACCCTACACGATTGCTTTTATTGACAATAATCGTATTGTCAATACATGCTATATTGACGTCAATATATCGAGATTGAAAATATTTCTGAATTCACATCATCAATATTATAGTCAATAATTCCCCTTCTCGTCAATATATTGATGCGTGTGGGGTTTGCTTTATGTACTACTTCAATACTGTTACGCATTTGACTGCACACTTTTGGTTGCTGGGTACATTATCAAAGAGCTTTGTGGGTGATGTGGCTGGCAGAAAGACGAGTGAACGTTCAATGAAAATTTACTCTTAAACAATAATAATGTATGGTGGTCCTGAGACGAACGGTTTAGTCGCGGTGGTTGAGTAATGCTAAGGTATTAGCATAGAGGTAACTCAACATGCTCTATGCTATGGTAAAATTCTAGTACTACACAATGTTTGTTTTGATTTGCCATGAAAGTTTGACATAAAATGAGGGGTTCGTGGATTTTCCTATGTTTCGAGGGGTGCATCGAGTAGCTTGGGACCGAAGATAGTACCAGAGCGGAGCCAAAAAGTTGAGCACGTTTCTTCGGGACCTTCTGGTCTTAGAGTTACCTCTATGGTATTAGCATAGAGGTAACTCTAAGACTAGAAGGTCCCGAAATAACGTGCTCAACTTTTTGGCTCAGCTCTGGTACTCTTTTCGGTCCCAAGCTCATCGATTCACCCCTCAAAACATAGGAGAAACCAATAACCCCTCATTTTATCTGTCAAACTTTCATAGCGAATCAAAACAAACATTGCGTAGTACTAGAATTTCGACTAGAATAGGGTACGTTAATCGTTTGCTTGGGACCAATAGGCTACTAAAGTGGTGAGCCAATTTAAAATCGTTAGTTTCGTATTGATTGTTGGTATTAGGATGTTCAACAGGGATGAGCTACAGATGATAGCTAGCTGAATGAGCTTAAGGAAGTTTACTCATCGTTAGGGCAGTGCCGATAATTTCGGAGAAGTTTCGAGAACTTAATGGAAGTCTAGACTTTTGGGGTGGTTTAACAGTTATTTTACAGGTCGTAACACCTTTACTCCAGCGAAGAATTTTAGAAAATTTCAGAAATAGGGAATAGTAATGAAAACCTAATATCACATCTGCTGTAAAATTGTAATCCGTTAATGAATTGCCTATTTTTGGGACAAATTTAGTACATTAATTGTTCATTTTTAAAGAAAAAGTTGAGTGAAATTTTCATTTTTTTCGATATCTATGTTCCATGATCTTGCCGTATTATTGCACTAACGGAAATCTACACTGCGGTGGTCATCAAAAAACCTGATATTTTCATGAATTGAAAGGACTTACCTTTTTGTAATAATATCACAGTTTTCACTTGTAATGTTTATTCGGAAATTTCAATCTATGGGCCGAACTTTAGGGACGTCATTTTGAGACGTGTTTTCAATTATGGCCTTCGAAATTTATATGATGACTTTATATTGTTATTGGTGAAACCATTTGTGTAGAAGACGAGTCTGTAACTCTTTACTACTATAGGAGAAGAAAGTTCTCCCATAATCAAATGTCAGTTTCGAGAAACATAGCGGATAATTTCTGCACCTTTTCACTCTACTGAAAAGTCCTGAAGGAAAAACAGATTGGAACGGTACGTAAATTCGCGTCTACAAAGTTTCTGTAGCTCTTTACTCCTATGGGAAAATCCGATAAGCAAACGTCACTGGATGCGTGAAACATGGCTTTTTTCTTATTTGGTAGCTCTACCGAAAAATCCCGTAGCCAAGTGTCAATATTTGCGTGAAAATTTCATGTTCGCCAGCGAACTAGTTTTCTAAATGAATTAAAAAAAAACAAAACTACCCAACAGTTGAAATATTTTATATTAGTATTTAGGCTGTGTTCCATTTGGTGAATTTTCACTTAAGTTTTGCAGTTCGAAAATAAATTAAGATGTTCGAAAATCCCTCTGTTGTTGATCTTCCTATTTTCGATAAGGTGTTTGTCAAAATTGATTCCTGGTCTGTCAGAAATAAGTCTGGTACAATAGCAGGTTTATTTTAAAATTTTCCATCTGTCAAATTTAAGTGAAAATTCACCAAATGGAACACAGCCTTAGAAATGCCTCTCATTTTAAGAAATACAAAACAGCCAGTAAGTAAAAAACTCTGCCATTTATAGCTAACACGAATGTATACATTTATCATGCTTGCCGCTGATCGAGTCTTCCGTCCGGACCTGGCAACACAATAAACAGCATGGCCAACTAATGTAAACTAGAGTCGGTGTATAACAGGCCAGTGACAAGTACTAACAGCAGCGTTTGACAATAGGCAGCATGTCCCGGGCCAAATTGTTTATTTTGCTGTGCACGGTATAACATGTTGCCTAAGCGCCTGACACTGGGCTGGTGTATAATGAGTCACGCCAAGAGAAAAACAGTTGAACTCGCATCACGGTTTTCGAAAGATTCCCTTTCTTTTAACTTGGCAGCAGAGGACTTCTACATCAACTTCAAATGACTTCTAGCGAGAAAAAATAATAGCGACTGTAGTTAATCATTATATCAGTGATTTTGCCAAATTATCTTAACAAAAAATAGTAGAAATTCTCATTACTGATCATTACCAAACGTATTCCATGACAATTGAATGCTCACTGCGTGTTTATTATCATTTCTTCGATTATATTTTATATTTTATTGCAATACCTTTCGTGGACCTTTCATAGCATCGTAATGTTTGTTTACTTTGCACGATAGGTAGCTGGATTGACAGTTCGATAGGGAGACTTGGCTTCACTCTTGGCGTGACTCATTATACACCGACTCTAATGTAAACATTCATTGCGGTGGATCCTGAATTCATTGAAATTTCGGTATTTGCTACAAGCTAACTAATGATTGCTAAAATGCACTGTAGGAAGTGATGCAATGTTTAGCTAATTAATTGAAATATGATTCTGTTCATAGGTTTTGGGGAGAAACCGAGAGGGACGGCTCTATCTACGATGCAGAAAATATTGTGTTTTGCTGTGGCTAGCTGCTCGCACGCTGAGTAGATATAAAGAGCCTAAATTTATAAAGAGGCGACATGTCAAAATTGGAACAATCGATTGTCTGTCAAAGTCATAGGAAAAGTCATTCCAATCGAGCAGAAGACCTGTCAAATGGATAAGATGTCGTCTCTTTATAAATTCAGGCTCTTTAAGTAGATAGAAAGAAGATTGATGACGAATCTGAAGATTTCCTGCAAAAAGATG